ACAGCACCTTGCTTTTAGCCGTCGCAGTTCAGGAACATCAGACAAACGCTCATTTAAGCACTGTTCAAGAGCCTCTTAACCTCACTGGAATTTCCCATCTATCAACTTTACCTGATGCTTTTAAGGACAAACATTCTGTAGTGGTTTTAACAGAAGGATGTGTATTTGGAAGATCTCATTAGACCCTTGACAACACTGTCAATTTTAAAGCCTTGTGCAACTGGAAGGAGGATGACTCTTACTTGACAGATGATGATCACATTGCTTGATACATTCTGGGAAGGTACTCAGATAGTTGGCGCGGATGAAATGTAATTGCACATAGCTAGGAATTATCACTAGATGCATTAAAAAAAATAGGAATGAGCAGTTGCACTTTTTGTTTTTGAACTCAGAAAACTTCAGAGCTTTTTTAAAAGCTTCTCTCACTTCCCCCTCCATTTCTTCTGTCTTACTCAGAACTAGCGATGACTATATATGCACCAGGAAGACTGCATGACCACAAACATTACCAGCAACAGTCTTACGACAACCAGGCATTCTGAAGAGATGAAAGCAGTAAAAAGCATTCTTCTACCAAACTGGACACCAAGATATTAATGTCCAGCCTGTCAACACACCGTGACTCCCAAACATTCAGTGAAGCCTCCTGTACATGCTACTTTTACCAGGTTTGATGCTTGTAAAGCATTCCCGTATATAGATGGTTGTGTTGAGCTCAGACTAGATAGCTTTAAGAAAAACTTCCAGGCCAGCAATATAGCAAGTTACTATTTTTCAGAAATTGTTATCCTCAGCAAATCGCTATAGCTCATATTATGAGCTCTGCAATGTCCAGGGAACGGGTGGACCACCACAGAGCTGCCTTCCAACATACACCAGAGCAAGAATGCAGTAGTACAGCATACGACTTCATTAATGAAGTGCTACAGCCCGCATGCACCGCCTCACTCAAATCCACGCATGCTAGAGACCATACTTACGATTAGCGCTTATTCATAGCTTTTAATACTGTTGGGCTAGAATTTAGATGTTTTAGATCAGGTTTAAACATGCCTTGGAATAGCTGTTCCTGCAGACTTCCAAAGACCTGTGTCACCCTCGTGGATTCAGAAGGCTTACTCATTAATTCGAAAAAAAGAAATAGCACAAAGGTCCAAAGGAGTTGACAAGGAAATTGGTAGAAAAAAAATCCTAGAGTTTAGCAACTACACAGGCAGGCACTTGGGCTACTACTAGGTCTTAAAAGAATCATTTCACAGTAGCTTTTCTTAAATCTTTAGGAAAAAAGCCTAGGGAATCGACAAAATCTAGAAGGTATTATCAGCAATGCTAATTTAAATATGCACAGAAAGCTGAATGCTGTATGAATAAAGCCTAAACACTTAAACCCCAGCATTTAAGAGAAGGTGATATTCAGCTACAGAGTTCTCACTCACGCATAAATCAGAACTCATTTTTGTCCCTATTAGTCAGAATGACTAAAGCACATATTTTGTAATAAAAAGTTTCAGGCTGCTTTTTGGAATTGGAAAAAAAAAAAAAATCTGTCCCAGTTATCTAAGTGCAGCCTGGTATGTGGATTACTTTTAAATCCATGTATTTTATACATGACTACTTAGATATGACAAAAGAAAGTGAGTGACTTCCTAGCAACTAGGGCACAGATGAAAAGCTTCTGCATGTTAGTATTTGAGGATATGATCGGTAAAAATCACAAAAATACTTAAGGACAGCTTTGCAATGACTTAGATACTACCTAAAAAAAGATTACTAGGCAACTCAGATCCAACTGGAGTACAAGATTTTTTTTTTTTTTAAACTGTAAAATTGTTTTTTTTTACAGTTTAATACCTAAGTGCAAACCAAAAGCTTTGATTCTCTAAAGCTTTACAGTTAAACTCAATATATTCAACAGAAAATTCTATCGATGCAGTACTCCATGTTCTTCACAAACATTTACACTTCATGAAAGCTACCCTATACCATCTCTAGTTGAAGGATTCTAATTTCTGACCAGTTTAAAGCTAAGTTTGGAAATGTATTAAATGTTTACCTGTTTTCAGGAGTCTTTAGATGTTAAAAAGGACACACAAAGGAATTGCTTTCTAAGTGAACAATATTAACTAGTATAAGCACTGCAGTCTGGTTTTGCTGTGATCACATCACTAGCATACATCTAGTACCCAAGGAGGTAAGCACAGTTAACAAGCACAAAACTTTTTACGAGTTAAAAAAAGCAACTCAAAAAGAAACAAGCACACACACACACAGAGATCAGGGAGAAGTGTTTTAACAGTCGCCATCCAGGAATCTCTTTGCTTGTATCTCTACAGTTTGATACAAGAATACCTTCTTCCATATTTTACTATGAAAACTGCAGTGTAAAGTTAATCATCTCTTCAATGACTCCAGGGAAAAACTCCATCCTGCTGTCAAAAATTCATCTTTTTTGGAGGATAGATGACTGCAGAGTTAATGCTTATTTTCAGTTAGCTATGAGGATCTATTTAAAGTCCCCATTTAAACATGGAATTCTGTTTTCATACTTAATACAATGTAATTATTTTTTTGCAATATTTTATAATTTTAAAAAAGTCTTCCAGAATCCAGAGTTTAGATTTTCAATGTTTATTATGAATCACATTCACAGTGCAATACAAATTACATAGAAAGCTATACAACAAACATACAAAGACTACATGAAGCACGTACCATTCTGTAATGCATACAATACCTGATTCTTAGGCTAGAAGTGTTCTTAACACTTGTTAACAAGAAATTGAAGTCAAAGATAAATAATTTGATTGATAAACTCCTTCATTATTTAGTTTTTTTATATTAAAAACCCTTTTGGTTGATAAGCAGGCTACCAATGTAAAAAGGGGGAAAAAAAGCAACACTGCTATTTCTATGTAGAAAATTTTTCCACTGTTTCAAGCTTCGATTAATTTTCAATTAATCATCCTGTTGTCCAGCAAAAGTAGTCACAAAAATCAATTCAGCACTTTATTTCCAGAGCAGGTTGATGATATAAAAAATAAACTATAAATGTACATATAATCATGTGTCAGCATATAAGTTTAGAAACATTATATGTAAAAGTTTAGAGACCAAGATGGTCCAATATATGTACTGCTTAGATAAATTACATAATTACAGTTCTGAAGTACATTACACAATTTTAATGTACTGTCCATACCAGAAAAATACATTTACTGTATGCATCTAGAATAATTCCTGCAAATGTTCATTGATGAGTTGCGCTAGTACTTTGGAAACCGATGTAAGATTTTTAGCTGTTTTCACAGCCTCTCCTCACACATTAAAAAAAAAAGTCCTGGCTGGCTAAATGCAAATAAGTGGTAATTTTCACTACCAGTCAAATTCTGCTGGCAATTTGATTTTATTTCACTTTGTCAAATAAAAACATTTCACACAAATGACATTTTTCTTACTTTCAGCACACTAACGGTTTAGTGACTTGAGGAGATATTCCTCCTTATTTAATCTATGCATAACTTCAACAAGAGGTCCTAAGGACATATTCTCGATGTATAGTTTAAACTAAGGGCAAAAAAATGACAGCTCAGAACATCTCTTGGGCATAATAGAACTATGAATTTCAGCAGAACAGATTTCATGTGCTAATTCTAAAAAATTAGAGATGTGTTTTTAGCCACCCACTTTTGGAGCTCCAGAGCTGTGAAACGGATGAGTCGAGACTCATTTTCAGTTAAGATGCACAAGATCTTCCCTTTTGACAGATGACCACAATGAGGAAATTATTGCTTTAGCACCTTAACACAGCCCCCATCCGTTCAATGGATTGTAAAGGCTACATAAACTGGCAAGTCACAATTTTAATTAAGAAATTTGGTTTTGTGTGTCTCCATGCACAATATGTTCAAGTATTACAGAGGGCTTGTAAACCTGGACACAAGGTTTAAGTTTGTGTAGAAAAATCAGTAAGGATGTAATATGCAAAAATAAATCAATCACATGATTAATATCTGTATAGATTTGCATTCTAATATGCACTATATAGCAATAAGCATCCTTACTGATCACTATTCAAATGCATCTCCCAAAATGCTAGTAGCACTTCTTTGCTCTGTTTTTAGAAGCAATCCAAAATAAACCCTACAGCAGTGTGTAGTACTTTACCTTACAGCCAAATTTTCAGTACTACTACTGAGCGTAAAACCCTTCTCCTGGGGTCTAGTGAGGAAGAGCTTTTTTAATGCCATCAGAACCCTCCAACTCCTGGTTGCTGTTACGTCCCTTCTAGCAAACAAAAACGGTGCCAGAGATTCATTGCTCTGAGTCCAAGGGAACCTCATGTATATCGCATACATGACGTGGGAATACTGGATGCAGCTTTATTGCCAGACACTGCGAGTGGACCTCAGAGCATCTTCAGCAGAGCACTCGTGCTCAGAATTCACCTCAGAGCAGAAGTGCCTGGTGAGTAATCACTTACCAGAATGCTGTTATGACAAGTCTCAGCATAAATGCTGCTGCAACAACTTTATTCAAAAAAGATGCTGAAGCAGAATAAGCCAGATGCACATTTTGTAAGTCACACACTGATTCTGAAAGCATGCTATATGGAGAATTGATTTCAGACTAGGCTTTCAGAAAAAGCCCACGACTTTCCAGCTTCTTCCCTGGACCCCAGTGAAGACAAATTTGCACATGGGAAAGTTTCGAACAGTGAGTTTCACATAAATGCACTTTCTAAACAATGTGTCTGAGTTACAGATAACAGTTACTACTACATCAAACTTGGATCAGCATTGCACTTTTCAAACATGTCTTATCATTAGATGTTGACAAGAAACATTGAAGTGTCCATAGAAGTTTAGAAATAACCGTAAAAAGTTAGTAGAAAACCTCCATTGTTTCTGGAGTTGAAATGTAAGTTTCAAAAACAACAGACGCGGGGAGCTATGCCATTTACTCCAGTTCAGGTAATACAGTATTAAAACCACCAATAACTTTATAAAAGGGATATATGAGAAATACAAAACCAAATGACAAAACTTCTCAGATACTACAGACATACTCAAGCCAAGTGACGTCCGAGTGCCGAGACAAACTGTACATGAACACCTTCATGTTAAACTTCACATTCCCATCTGCATATCAGCAAAGTTGTAGAAATTGTCTACATCTTGAGACGCTGATGCCTTGCTCTCTGATACAAAAACCTGTTTTATTAACAAGGAGACAGTTATGCATCACTGATAAAGACATTCAAGTAGTCTTTGCTCATTCAGAGCCCGTAATGGTTATTTTTATTTTTGCATTTCATGAAAGGCACAACTCTGTTGGTTTCCACTGTGTTAGAATAGTCCTAAAATTCTCCCAGCCCCAGTGCACCCTTTGTTACCATCACCTGTTCCTAGCAGACATGCTAGCTGCAGTAACCCTAGCCTTCCACTGATGGGAATTAAAAGTTTTGGGCTTGATTATTTAGCTGTCACAGCTTCAACTAGTGTCCATTTAGATTTATTTTGCTTGGTAAAGTCCAACTCTGTCCAGCAGATGGGGGGGAAAACAAACACAAAACCTTAGACTACCATTAAGCTTTCTTTTAACAGAAAGGCAGAGATTGTAAGAAAGACTCTCTTGCACTACATTCCCCCCAGAAACCTTAGCTGCTTCTTTAAATAACTTCTGTTACGTTTGCATTTTGCAAAATTGATCAATGCATGTGAAAGTCCAAGCTCTAGGACAGTCGCCTTCAAAAGCTTTCTGCAAGTCAACTACAAATGCCTCAGGCAACACCCAAGTAGTTCAGTATAACAAAGTGATAAGGCTGTTCAATCTCAACACCTAAGTGACAGCCTAAATCAAAAACTTAAATTGAGTTCTTACTATCTTATATTTTCTATACCTTAAGAAGAATTCATCACTGCCTGAGCACATCAGTGTGAGCACAGCCAACTGAGCTGTTCTGAAGTGCAGTGGGACTGTAGGAATGGGTTATTCCAGATGGCTCTGCTCCTACAGTCACCACTTCTCTGCTTCATCTTAGAATATCACATGAATGTAAAACATAACAGTTCATTGAACTAGCTTACTTTAACTACATTTTAAGATTAATATTTTGTTGACCAGTAAGTTTTCAATAAAAAAAAAAGATCATATCATCACAAAGCAAGTAGTTTCCTACACTGTTGCTTAGATGCATGGTAGACCTCTGTTTGAAGGGACTTGAGAACATCTACCAATTATTTGGCCACAACAGTTGAATACCTTCTTTCAGCATCCTTCCCTACCAGGATATTAAAATTTACATTTTGCAGAGTATTTTATGATTAAGTGATGAGATGGAGGAACAGCACTAGAAAGAACGCCAAAAAAAGTGCAGAAGGTCACACCAGAAAGAATGTCAGTGGTAAGGAGCATAGATGTACCTAGTCCACACAAATAGGAAGTCCGCTTAAATGCATAGCGTAGAGCTCTCCTTGTAACATGTCGTTTCTACCAAACAGCTCAAAAAACTCTAGTGGTGCTACTGCTGAAGAACTTTTCTACCCCCTACTAGAGTATCTAGAGTTGTTTATCAGATTTATTTCAGAAATAAAAACCTGGTGAAATTAAGGTTATTAACAGATTAATTTAATAATTTTTACTTGGTTTTCAAATGCAAATGTAGCCACCTGCTTAAAAGCAGATTATCTCCTGCAAAGTCTTACAGGATACATGTCTTCCTAAGGGCTTTTGTCATTGTTTCTTGATCAAGGATGCCTATAATTCTTTCTGAGCACTATAACAACTCTCACACATAAGGGCAGCCAACAATGAGGTGCAATCATTATCTAGAACATTCCTGAACTTTCTGGTAGTAATGTTACTCCCCAAATTACTTGCAAATCATGTCCCAAGAAAGAAATACATTTTCTAAAAAATATATACTTGTGATATTCAATTATCCAGGGATCCATGCACAAACTCAGTGTTTATCAGATGTTTTGAAGTTACGTTTTATCAAAATAAAGATATATACTTCTCAGGAAGCCTAAAGTTCTGTTTCTTAAAATTCGGCACAGCAAGTATTTAATAAGTGAGGTAGATTTTACTATGGAACCAGGCTGTAAACAGAAGTTTTAAATCCAGATGCAGTAAGCAATTTCACATTTGAAACGGAACCCAAACGCTACAGATCACCTTCAAGAACAATGCTTACTTCACAGCATGAAGAGCACAGTCTGAGGTTTCTCGATGCATCTCAGATCAGAGCATTCATAGTGTTATTATAACAGCCACCAGTCATTTAGGTGAGGAAAAGAAAATTTTATTTGTTGCGATAATTAATATCACTTCAGTCTTCGAATAGAGAAAAAGATCTAGAAGAACCAGCGAATTACCTACCCAGTATCAGCTTTGTTCTATATGAAAAAAAAAAAACTAACCACACTAAAAAACACCACCGTAAGCTCCTGCTTAAAGAGGCCATTTTTATGGTAAAATTTGCAGTGATGACCTTTGGGTCACAAGAAAGAATCAGTAATACCACAACACTGCTCAGACTGTAGTTCAAGTATTTTCCAGACTCAGAGTGCCAAATTAAGGCCAGCTACACATCAGGTTTTGCTGGTACAATAGCAAACACACAAAAAAAAGCAAACATTAGCTGCATTTAAGATGACTTATTGCAAGACGACTGTTTTCCAGAAACTGGCCAGCCTACTTCTGAGTAACTGGTTCGAAAGGAACTGAAAGATAGCAAGGAGCTGTATGGACACTACTTCTCAAAACTTTCTCCAAACCATTGCCATTCAGAGAAATGGGCACAAGCAAAGAGAAGGTGTGGTGTAAAGAAGCTACAGCAAAACAAGCTGATAAATAAAGAAAAATGCCTTTGAAGGAAGGCATTCTGCAATACCCTACACAACAAAAGTAAACCTTGGATATGGGGATTTAGTACTACTGTCTTTCCTAAGGCAATTTTTCTTGTCTCTGACAAGCAACTTGAGTTTTGAGTACAAAAAAACCAAAACAACAAAAAAGGATATTCCGATTTTACTATTCAGAAACCTAAAAAGACGGTGCAGTACGTCAATGCTACAGCTTGACCACGAAGCATCCTAGACGTTCTGTAACATTTTCTGCCAATAAAGCAATACACCAGCTTACCTTGGTCCCGCTAAAAACATCATTTATAGTACTTTGACATCCTTCCACAGCACCATCTCCATTGAACTCCAAAGCAACCACTGGACCTAGAAGATAGGTTAATTCAGAATCAATACTACTTTTAAGCTTGGCATTGAAACTGTAGGTTTCTCAACCCATAGGGAATTGCCAAGCTTGCAAGAATCATTTTATGTTTTTTGCTTGAGCAGCCATAAGGCAAGATAAAGAATTAAAAACACTTAACGATAGCTTCAAAGTACAGTGTTATCCGAGAAGAAAATATCTGCAATTCCATGCTCATTTTTGCCGAGACTCTGGCAGGATTCCAGTTTTACTTCGCGAAAGGCAGCAACGGCACAAAAATGCTAAGGAGCGCGGGGCATCATGGAAGTGAGTCAGACTATACTGTTCAAATAGTGAGCCATTTCACAGACATCTGGAGTAGGACTGAGTCATTCAAGCATTTTTGCCTCAGTCCCAAGATAGCAAACTGCCTGATTTTTAGACTTGTTCTCACCCACTATTTGCAGATCCCCTTTCTCTGGTTTCGTTCTGAACACGTTATTTCTTCCCACGTGGGTGCAAAATAGCCCTTAAACTAGACTGTTGTCTGAGGTACAATAACTTTTGTCTCATTCTTGCAATGAGCATCACAGACCTCTTAGGTTACTATGAGAAAAACTGCATGTTGCTACTAAGTTTGGGAGCGTGTACTGAGCTTTAGCATGTAACAGATGGCAAGATGTCAGTACTTCTGCAGGAGGAGACAAAAACCAACTACAGTCAGATCAATAAAAAGGCTTTTGAAATACTCTCACAGTACACCAGTTATAAGCAGAAATTTAACACTCACCTGCTTTATACACATCTATACTGTTTTGCTTAAATATGTGTGCAGAAACAATGAACATCTAGGTGTTTGAGCCGCAATGGTGATAAGTTAGAACCAGTCTAAAATCATGAGCTGCTTTTCACCGCCCCAGACAGATCTGCATGTGCCACTGTTCCTGAGTTATGCGGTTGGACCACTAGAGGGGGGGGCAGAGCCACAAAATACATGTGGAATAGCTCATTTCTGATGCCTTCAGGCCTTCTGGCTGGTTCAGGGCCTAATTGAGGCTTCCAAAACTCATCTCAACTAGCTTTACACTATGTCCTTGAAACAAATTTCTCCTTCATTCCTCTTTCTTCTCCAGGACTCTCTAGTGACAGCTAGATTTCTATATCGAGAAAGAAAAGAACACAAACTCACCTTTTTCAAGCAGTGGAATGAATTCTGATGCACACTGCTGGAAAACTCTGTGAGCATCCTCTGCCTTCATTGAGACTTCTTTAGTCTGTACCAGCTGAAAGCCTTTGCCAGTCATCTGTTAACAGAGAAAGAATTCATATTAAAAATGCTGCTAAGGCAGAACGTTCAGCTCGAGTATCCAGACTACACTGGAATAGAACATTTTCCCCATACACATTAAGCCACAGAGCAAAGGGACCCTTTTTACTCTTTTCAAAGGCCATTTGCTTCTTCTACATTTCTGTTTATTTTCATTCCATTCATCCAGATTTTCTCCTCTGCCCTAGTGTACCTAGAGGACTAAATGTGAATGTTTTTGTTTTATATTATGGCCCAGGGTTGTGTTTTTCCCCCCACAATCCCTCACAAGCTGAAACTAATGGGATTTAAAAGCATTCAGCATCTGGAGTCAAGCAGTTAGCTCTCATTAGTCTGCAATAGTTCAGTCAAGCGTTAGCTTAAACTCTCATCTATCCACTGCTGAAGTTTTCAATTTTAGAAAAAAAAGTTACAAGCTTTCGAACACACACAGCTTTTTACTTCAAACCTAATATGAAACTAGAAGCATGCAGAGAAGGAGCAACTGTATTTGTACTTCCAAAGCATCCATTAATCTACAGAGCAGTAAGATTTCCATAGAATCTCACTAACTAGTCTTTTAGCATCTTAACTCTGATTTCTAAAGAACTACTAACACAGGAGAACACATCTCTTGTCCTGTTTACTGTAGCTATTCCTTCTGCAGAAAAAAAAAACAACCCATAAGTATCATTATCTTCCGTCACTCAAGTAGCTGTTAGTAACTCGGTTCCATAAAAATTCAACATAAATATGGTTGGGAGACAGGGCGGGAGGAGGGAATACCATACAGCTTGCTTTCCTTGTAGTTAAAAACCCAAGAGAAGGAGCTCGGTTGTTCTGTTGATCTTACAACACTGATCAGCAGCTTTTGCAGATCGATCTCTCAAAAGCTGTGGCTCATGAGTACTGGCTCTGCTCTGTCATCCCTGGCACTCCAGGGTGCTAAAGGCAGCCAGCCACTCCCAGATTTTAGTCCCAAGAAAGCCCAAACTCAGCCAAGCTTGGGAGCTGCTGCCTGAAAGGAGGTGGGGGGGGGAAGAGAAGCTATTTAAGTAATCAAACACAGCTGATCAGCCTGACAAACACTCTGCCTCTTCCAGAAAAAAAAAAAATCCAATACTGGGTGGCAGGAGGGATGCAATTTAACATGTTATTTTTTTTAAGTCTCTGTTAGTACTGGAAAAACTTTGAGGACAGACTGTTTTGTTAGCTGAGACTTTCAAGGCAATGAGCTAACAAGGTAATTGGCTATATCCCTTTCACAAGCATTGCCAATCACTTACTCTACGTTTGGCCAAGTTCATCAAATCAACTACGCATTTTCTTCAGAACGTAGTGTAGCTTTGGCGTGCCGTAGTGGAAAGCACACTGGAACTATTAGAGGATAGATGTGCCAGTCACAGGATGTCAGCTGCAAGACAACTGTCTGATCAGGCGAGCTCCGGTCTCTTACCTTGCTTTAAGGTTTTAAACAGCGCAGTTGCTTGGTATGGTTAGTAGACAAGTAGAGCCTCTGTGTTCTCCCTTCAGGGAGCACTGGAGGCTATCAGGAGGAAAGTTCAATTAGAAATTCACAAAGCTGAACCAGACAAAGGTCACTTACCTCATCAATTAACTTCCTGGCATTTGCAGTTGTGTAGTCACCAGCAAAAAACATGGCCAAACACGACTCATCGCTGCTTTTCTGTCTCCGCCCTCGAGTTACTGGTATTATGCTCCTCATCGCATCGGTAGAAATTCTGACGGCTTTCAGCTCCTCAGAGCTGGGCAGAGGAACATAATCTTCAACTACAGCGTTTTCAGGCAAAAGGCCCCAGTTGTTTTCTCCTGACACAGGGGTGAAGTCATGGATGCTGCTCCACGTGTTATTGAAGATACTCAGTCCAGCATCTTTAAACTGGAAAGCAAGCTCAGGATAGTAGTACTGGAAACATCCGAATTTCATACCTGTGGAGGCCTCGATAACGGGCTGGGTGGCACAGCACAAGAATACTTCCAGCCTTCTGCAGTCCCGAGTGCGAAACTGCTGGCAGGCCACCACGCATTTACAATCTTTGCAGCCACGGAAAAACACACTGCCTTTTACTGGTCCTAAAAAGATTTGGCAGTTTACACAGTCATCAATAGTGATTGTAGCAGAATGGTCAAATATGTAGATACTACAGTTCTCACAGTCCTGAATGACAAATTGTTGCCCTGCTACTTTTCCAGGCAGTCGACCCACAGTTTCGTCTTTAAGTCCGGAAAAAGTGTAATCTTTGGGGTCAATCTGAAGGAGGAAGAAAAAGAAAAAAAAGAATGTGAAAGTCTTCACATACAGATCATATTATAATGCTAAATGTCAATTGACTTGCATTAATTGAGGCAACACTGCATCGTACAGGATAACCTGCCAGAAAACTCTTTGAGGAGTGATGAAAGACCAGAAGATCTTTCAGCTAAACTGCTGGAATGCACAGTACAACAACGAATTGAAACTACACTTCTAAGATGCTCCAGGAAAAAAAAACAACCTAACTCTGTCCTCTAATATGGAAAGGGGGGAGCTAGTTTTCTTTTTGGACACTAAACTGGTTCAACAAGGATGATGGTCCCAGGTATCATTGTAATAACTGTAATAAATGAATTGCCCAACATACTGGAAGATTCATAAAGCTGAGATACACAGTATTTCCTTTTCAAGTAGCTTTCTTGGTCATATTTGTCACACCCGAACACATTGCAAGGAAACCTTGATGCTTTCAAGCAGTATCTCCTTTATTATGTTTGCAAACTACAAAGAGCTTGCTTACCTGTGTCACAGCATCATCTTGTTAGCACAAAAATCTCATAGTTGTTAGCACAATAGCTACATAATTGTTTTAGCCACAATCGACAAGCAAACATTGGCAGTGCTGTTTGGGTGCACGTTTACGGACCTCCCCCCCTCCCTGCTGGGGAGGGACCCTTGAGTTCCCCTGGGACTCTCTGCTGTGGAGCCGAGACTGAAGAGCCACATGGCGCCCAGGATGGTATATGATACAGGTAGACAGCATGAATAATACAGCCGGTGCTGTCATAACACCGAAGGAATCAGAGCTGGGTCGTTTCCAGATGGTGAGTCTCAAGACAATTGTCATAACACCGAAGGAATCAGAGCTGGGTCATTTCCAGATCGTGAGTCTCAAGACAATTACGCTTCCCAGAGCACATTCTACTCTGCCCTCTTGTGAACGCTTATTAAAATAGCACTCAGAAATATGTAAGTACCTGAACTAGTCTAACACAAGACCACTTCACAAACCTGCTATTTGATTATCAGCCTGAGGGTCCTAAAGCTTGCTGCACCATAATCAGTGTTAATGCATTACAGCAGTTTCTAGATAGCCCATTTATAAGAAATTCCTCCTCCTCTTCCGCATTTCAAACATTCACGTGAGATTTAGAGACCAGAAAAAGGCATAAACCAGGATGTGCTAGCACTAAGTTAGCTCAGCCTAGGTAGCTTTTGTCCAGAACAGCTAATGGAAGCTAAAAGTCTTTACCAACCAATAAAACATACTCTTTTACAGACCACATATCTGACCTCCAAACAGGAAAGGTGGTTTGCAGCTGATGAATTTTCCAAATAAAATGCAAGTTGAGACAATGAAGATGGCTTCCTAGAAATCTCTCCTTTATCATATTTAATACCACTGGTACACACCCAAGAAAGTGAGTTGGAAGAGTTATAAATAAAACTGAGAGGCTCATATGATAAGGGACGCAGCATGGAGACTCAGCCGCATGATATGGTTGGGATTCAAACCCTTTAAGGTCTTAAGTTCCATGTAATGTTACATATTTGATCCATATACAAGATATTTATACTCATATTCTCTCATACTTGAGAATATAAGTATCAAAACTGCTTTTGGGCACATCCTTCCCAGGCATCTCCTATTTATGTATATACACGTTGGGGTTTTTTTTAATAATCATGGAAGGCTTACTGCCTTCACAACAGGGTCCAGAAGAACAGTTACTTCTCTCAGGAAGGAGAAGTTCAAAGTTTCCAGAACCTACAGCTTTTTTGAAAGTTGACACCTAAGTGTGTCCTTCTAAACCTCTCTGCTCTAAAAAGCCTCTGAAGCAGCACAAGCTCATCCTACACTGCGGCCTTTACAGAGATGTGTGAAACTTCAACTTTGCCTTGCAATTTTGTTTAGGCCTAGGTGAAAAACACTGGTTAATCAGCTAACCCACAACTTACAGACAGTTTCAAATGAGAACACTTGAGAAAGAGTAGTAATTGAGTTTAATGACCAAAAAAAAAAAAGTCAGCTTATTACCAGATTCAGGAGCTCAATTTTATTTCCCTGAGATGAATTAAGAGTTCTGCTCTGACACAACTCTTACTTCTCAGTTTGTTCACCACACTGGGGAGTTCACCACTTTCATTTAATCTTGCTTTGCAGTTTTCCTTTTAAAGACCAAGAGTATTTATTGACTGACTGGAGGGCCTGAATGAAGTAGATTTGACTCCCTCTCCACACTGGGTTATGGCCCCTGCGAGGAAGGGGTAACCCGACACACTGTAGCAGATCCGAATGTTTCACTTCCCCTAGATAAAAGAAACACGCCAAAGAAAGGAGCATGAAGGCAGAGCTACAATTTTGAGGATACATCCAACAGCTGCTAACATGCTCATCATGGAGTTTCATGCTTACCAGCTCTGAACTCTGCAGCTATCATGAACAGGTTTAATATCAAATCACTGCATTCACCTTCCTTCCCCTGACAGCCAACACTAACTGCTTCTTAGGCTCTGTCTAGGCCATGTAGCAAAAAAGCAGGCTAGGAAGAACAAAAGCAACAGAAGGTGGTAGCATCTGCAGCCTCATATAACCATAACCACAGCTACCTAGATATCTCTGCCTGTTCATCTGGTGCAACTTTTGCTGTAAAATCTGAAGTATGTGGCAGCTCAACAAAAATCAACTGTTTGGTAACTCATCTGTTTATCCTTTGCATTTGAATAAAGCTTAAAAGAACATTGTCCAAATCCACTCATCTCACCCAGACAGATGCTTTACTCTCCATCCCTTAATACATTTTTTAATGTGGGTTGGTTTTTTTGCCCCCCCCTCCTCCCCGAGGCTTGTATAAGTCCAAACGGTGACAGTAGTTACAGAAGCAACTTTCAATGCTTTCAGCTGAATTTTAAAGAGTTTTTGGTGTAGATATGAGCCATGCATTAGTAGATACTGGCACAACTCAAGAGCTGAAACCTTCCAACAGAAGTGCTACGCACAGGTTCAGGAATTACCCCATAGAGTGACCTAAAATAACCAGATATGATGACAAAAAAAAAGTAATCCCTGCTTACACAACATTCTTCCTCCTCAACAGAGGGGTACAGAAATTTCATCTTCAGTTATCAGCAATGACATTGGTGGTAAGTCTGCTACAAAGGACTAGAGGACAAATTGTAAGGAGCAGAGATTTTAAAGAACAAAGAAAGGAGAGAAGAGAGGCAAACAAAAGTTTGTCATGGTTGCTTTGAACTCTGGGAAGTTCTGCTGCAACAAGCGCAAGCTGTATTAAGCAGCTTTCCTTCCTGCCAACACTTGTCTTGCAAGAAGGTCAGAGGCCAGACGTGAAGGCTGCGGATGACGTACATCTCTTTAGCCATCATTATCCAGTTTACTGGCACAAAGACTAGGCAGCTCCCATTTGGAAGAAGACTTAGAAGTACAGGTTACAGTGGTAACTGTGCCTAGAATCACCAAGGATCCCAACAGCTTCTTGAACACTTTCTGGCATGAGTTCATGTCTTAACAAGACTTTTTTACTGGGTACATCAGGAAAAGAGTTTTAGTCAGCAATGATGTGCCACCACAAATATGAGAAGGCACTGCTGTTCTTAATGGATTACTGTTGTAGCCTAGTCACCCGGGTCTAGCCTGCTGAGCAAACAATAATTTGTAAAGTCTTTCTAAATCATTTACACTAAGGTCTTCTCTTTTAAATATCATTCTCAAAAAATCATTCCCTGTCTCTCTAAATTACAACAGATGGTGGTTCAGCTATGAACTTCATATACAGTTGATGACATACAAGAGTTGGCTGCTGACCCAGTGACATTAAAAGCTGCAGCTATAGGGTAGGCACACAAACTTGAGAGGCTTTACGTGCTATTTTTGTCAGTAGGGGAATTAACAGAAAGGAAACAAGCAAGAAAAGTGCATTCCCAGGCCTAGACACTTCTTCATATTCATACTTGCATGGGATTGGTGCCCTTAAGCACTGAGTTGCAACACCCTCTGGAAACTGTTGAAGTTACTCACCTCTGGCAGATTTCTACATTCTTAGGCAACACGGAAAAGTGGAAAGAGACAACATGTACAGGTTCCAGTCATTAGCACACAATTTTTCATCTTGGAGCATCTCCTATGCACCTTGAGTTTAAATGCAGACAATAACCCAGTTTGAATGCACATTTCATTCTATTCTTCGCAATCTTTCCCTCTCTTCCAGAGTACTTGTAATAGCATAGAATGGTCATTCTCATGCTTTTCTGAGGAACAAACCACTGCCAAATACTGCAGAAAGGAGAAGAGGAAGAAGAAAGGAAGGTACTACACACCTGTATCTGACTTAACTGGAAATACTGTTTAACATGAACCTGCTAACTGTTTCTCGGTTGATAGACTACATTTTGAGAAATATAGCAGTAGTTCATCTGGTGCACAGGAAGTGTTAAGAGAGATGCACTGGATTTAAGGACAAAAGTATTTCACTGTCTAATTAGAAAAAAAAAAAAGAAAAAAGTTATTTTATTTGTATTCCAAAATAAAATATAAAGTGGCTACCTAAATGAGATCTAGATAGTTCAAGATGTCCACGTCAGCTCAGACCTCTCTAGCAGAATCCTCAAATGTAAGGTAACTAACAAAAGACCATGATTTATGTAGAAAGTTACACCTCTGAGTTTTTTTAAAACTGTCTGAATTTAGCCATCACAGCTCAATATGATAGCTGTGTGTTTCCTGTCAACTAAAGCAGTTAAGTTGCAAGTCAACTGACATAAAACAAAAACTAACTTGTTCTTTCTAAAAGGAAAAATCATCTGGGAAGGAAAGTCTTCTAAGCTTTAAATGCCATTGTGATCATAATTAATCTAATCCTACTTCTTTAAATGTGAGACAATAGTAAAGAAGATGATGCAGATTTTTGTGTTTCTTCGGCAGAGAAGGTCACAGCACATGGGTATATCTGCAATCACAAGACACAAAACCCTAGTTCCTG